CCCCGCCCCAGCCCGGCCGGTCTCCGTCTTTCCCCTCGCCCCCACCGGGCTGCTTCGTCCCCGTTACCGCCGTCCCTTGCCCCGCGTCTTTGTTCCCAGCCCGGTGCCGGGACCCGGCCGCTCACGGCTCTCGCCGCCGTCGGGCGAAAGTCCCGGTTACCGGGATGCTCCAGCCGCCGCTCAGCCGACAGCCGCACCCGTCCCGTTCCTGCGTGGCGTGGGCGCCCGGGCACGGGGGAAACGACGGCGGAGGGCCACAGGCAGCGTGGGTGCGCTGGTGCGGGTAGAGAAACCCCGAGACGCTGATCCGTGTCGGTGGCACCCACGGCGAGCGCCTAACGGGAGGGAGGAGGGGGGCTCGGTACACTCCGCACCTCTTTACACCTCGTCCCTCTGCCCGCTTTTAGCTGTCCCGGTCCCGGTCCCGGTCCCGTCCCCGCTGACCCGTCCCCGCACCGCGTCAAATTGCCCCGGGAAATCCCTGGGATTACGGGGACCGACAGTGAAACGGTTTATTTCTTCCGTATCGTGAGATTTAGCTTAAACACACCGGCTGTGTCTGCATTTCTGAGCACAGGGATCTGCAAAACTTCCAGCGGGGTCCACGGCTCCTTTCTGCGCGTTTCTCGGTGCTAACGCGCACCGGCGCTTCGCCGCGCAGCAGCTCTCGGCGTGGGGCTCCCCGGAGGTGAATAAAGAATGCTAACAAATAATAATAATAAAAATAATAAAAAATTTCCTCCGGGTACGTTTTCTTCCCCCATCTTCCCGTTTAATATACGGGGGGGGAAAAAAAAAAAAAAAAGGACAAACGCACCCGCCGACTCCCGTCAAAACGTGGGGAGATTTCTGCCTCCAGTAACCTGCCCGCCTGAAAACCAAATAGACTTTTTTAAATGAAGGGAAGGAAAAGCCTTAAAAGCAGCGTACTCCCCTGCCTCCGGCTTGTGCGGAGGCTGTTCTTGCCTGGAGTGGCATTTCTCACTGAAATCTATGGGAGTTTTGCCGAGATCCTGTTGATGCCCGAGCCTAGAAATGTGCGAATGTGCACGAATAAATGGCGAAAAATACAGAGCGAACAAAAACGAATGGTTGTAAAAACTCGCTCCCGGAATGGTCTGGAAAGGATTTGCAAGTGTCCTTCCCCCGAAAGCGTTAATGGGCTTTGGATTTGTTTTGTTCTGTTTTGTTTTGAAGGACCTGGCAATTTAAAACGTTTTCCGCCGGAGCTGGCGCCGGGGAAGGGGCATCTCTCCCCGCAGAGAAGTGGGCAGCCACCGAGGGGGGCTGGATTCAGCCTCAGCCCGAGGGATTCCCGCTGCCCAGGGGCTGAACCCCAGGGCTCCGAGCCGCAGGGAGGCAAAGGGTTAACAGCTCCTGAATGCACACCAAGCCCAAAGCTACTGGGAAAGAATATCCAAAAAAATAACCAGTTTTTTTTTCCAGCCGCTGGACCTTATTGAATGTCATTGAAGAAAGTTTTGAATGCCAGATAAAGAGAGGCGAATTAAAGTGTGTGACAGCAGAGGATAAGCAAACACAAAGAGAACTCTGTCACACTTTGGGCAAAATCCGTGGGCTTTTTACCAAGCCTCTTCGCTATGATTGAATTAAGTAATAGGAAAACATTTTCTTTCAGTTTAGAGCCATTAGACAAAAACTTCAAAGCGAATAACACTTTTTAATGTGCAGCCCAACAATGGAATCTGTTTTGTGCTGAAATGTTTAAATGGTTTGTTGTGCAACTGTGGGCTGAAATAACCCAGACTGCAGCAAAATAGCATCCTTCAGGCCGTTTTATGAGCGCTTGAAACTAGCACAGACCTTTAATCCCAGCGCTTTAAACCAGCCTCCCCTCTCCCCCCCCCCCTTTTTTTTTTTTTAATAGGGGAAATTCACCTCGTACGTTCGCTGTCTCGAAGCGATCGCCGCTAAACGAAACCAGCACCGGGAGCGGGGGCAAGTCAGCCGCCGGCGGCTCGGGGGGGGACCCGGGGGGGTACGGGGGGGACCCCAATCCCGGCACGGTGGGGTTGACCCCCGCCAGGACCTGGTTTTGCTCTGCCGTCCTGCGCTGGCTGTCACCCCCCTGGCCGGAGAAAGGGGATGGGGAGAGGGAGGCATTAGGGTGCCCATCAGTTGGGGGGGGGCTCTCAGTGGAGGGGGGGTCAGCTATCATCGGGGAGATGAAGGAGAGAGAAGGGCAAAAGCCTTAGAACTGACTGAGGCTTGTGTCCCCCCTTGGGGGCTAGGGGGGCTCCGCCACCGCTGCCTGCCAGGGGAGAAGGTGTCAGTCACACCGCCACTGCCTGGGGACAGCTGGATGGGCATCGGCTGGAGAGAGGTCCCTCATCCTTTTGAGGGACCAGCCACTGCCTTTTGTGACGAGGCCGGGTGGTTGCCGTTAATATTTGGGGGGTGGGAGGTGACGCACGCCATCAATCCCTAAGGAGAGCATGGAGAGGTGCGTTAGTTTGGGGGCAGGGGGAGGTGAGGATGGGATCCTGCTAGGGTGGGATGGAACCACTATTTCCAAGGAGACCACGTCCTTGGTAGCTGAGAAGGGCTGACGATTTGTGGGTGACTGTAATATTCCCCAGCCTGGTCCGAGAAGTGATTTTCTAATGAGAAATAACAAAACGTAAATCAAAGCCAATACTGAACCACAAGCCACACACCGTGCGGTGGATTGTCCAAAGAAGAATGTGGTTTTTTACATTGGACAAACACACCCAGGAGCAGACCTGTGCACCCCTTTAATTAACTTGTCCACAGGATGAATCTGAGTTTACTTGAGTAACTGGAAAATATTTTTAAAAAATCACTTCTTTATCAGCAAAGTTGATTTTTGTGGCTGCTGTACTTTCCTCATTGGTCTCTTGCTTCATTGAACAGGACTAACTGCATGAACAGATCCCCCAAACATGTTGATTTTGGCTCCTGACTCAAATTGTACTCTGTACAGAATGGATGTTCCCTCCTGGGCTTATCTTGCACACTGACACAACAGTGCCTGCATGACCAGCCACTTTTGCAGTGTTTAATTCTACAGTATCTCAGAGGAGAGGCAGAGCAAGCTCCATTCTGCAGGTGGACCACCTAGGTGAAGTGATGAGGGCCGGTAGCTATGTGGGACCAGCAGAAGATGATGCTTGTGGAGTGCTCGTGTCACTCTACGTTTATGTGAAGCTCAGTGTCTGAAAACTGCAGCAGGTATTTTGTGCACCGACTTCGGCAAAATGCTGGAAATGTTTGGCACCCTCAAAGCCAGGGTTCAGGGAAGGGAAGCAGTCAGTGAGACAGTGAGAAGAACACAGGTACTGAGTAACCACAGGGGAAAAAAAAATCACTTTTTATCATGTGCTCAGTGATCTACTTTGCACTGTCTGTGAATACCATCAGAGAAGCAGAAATAAAACCCAGCCTGAACACAGGTTACATCGCATCAGACCAGAAGTCCATCTACAGCCGTAACAGTAGTGGCTGTAGTGGAAATCTAAGGAATTCTGTGGGAAAAGGACAAGTGTAGGGTGATAATCCTGTGGTTTACTCCTGGCCTCCAGTGATCCACAATGCAAGGGCTTCCAGAAACATAGGTTATAGGTTTGTGTTTAATTCCAGTTCATCCAAAATAAAGGCAAAACCACAGCTTCCTTTGTCATGAAGTTGTCCTATTTTTTCCTTCAGCTCTTGTCTTATCTATCAATTCCTTCCAAATTTACCATTGTATAAATTTGGTAGCCTACCAGCAGTGGCCTTCACCATGCAGCCCTGCTATGTTTCCATCGTGGTTCATCCAGTTTCATCTAGTTTCCATCACAAGGCAGTATTTACTCTATACCAGTAAAACCTGTGCCACAGGAGGATCAAACTAAAGCTGCTTGTTTCCAGGACCTATGTTTTTTTCCTTTGATCACTTTCAACAGCAGATATCTAGGGTGGAGGTTTGCCATTCAGCTTTTCTTCAGGCCCCTTGCTTGCTAACAGGGTGGGTCTATAAGGCAATCCTGTAATCATCTTCTAAGAAGACAGTTTGCTGCTCTGTTTCTCCTCCTTGTTTTGACCGTTCACTCAGGAGGAGCTGTCAAAGAAGTAGTTGGACAGAAATGGTGAAAAAGTAATAGGAAAAGTAGGAACATGTAAAATACACAATTTAAAATAGCCTTTTGCTTTTATAGAGAGACCACATTTCAAATTGCCGGTGCCCTTGTAAGACAAAAGGACACACAGGATGAAGAAGTACTTGAGAGTAATGAAGCCAAGGAATTACAAAAAGGAGCTGGATATGAGTTCTGCAGATTTGGTTAAATTATTAAATCATTAGAGATATGGTCCTTCAACCTCAGAATCCACCCTGTTTCCCAGCCACTTTTCATTGTCATCTTCTCCTTTCTCCAGATTTCTCACCTTTATGTATGCAGAGTCCTTCACAAACTGAAAGTTTTTGAGGTTGTCAGTCGGCTCTTTGAGAACATCCAAGGGGAAATTCTGTCATCTCATACGGTGAGAGACTATATTGTATCTGTTTTCTGCAGCCTGATGAACTTCTTTGCAGGTGTTAATCACATTCATGTAGCAAGTACTCCACAAGCCATATTGATCTGTAGCATGTCTACTTGGAATTAAGGATACACTGGTTTCAGTGTTGGTTTCTCGTCCCCTGACTGGCAGATTTGGAGGGTTCTGCAGTGATTGTGGTTATTGCTGAATGACACATCTGGTTAGTGCATTCTGTGATGGAAGAGAGACAAATAAAGGTCTGTTAGAGTCACTGTTGAAGATCTTTCTTCAACTTCTCCGAAGTGAAGTTCTACAGGAAGCTGATAGGAAAAAAGCAGAATTTCCCTGCCACTTAAAAAAGAATACCAAAGAGCTGAAGACATTGGAGTCAATAAAGGCACTCATGATTAAACTCTGCTTGGAAGACTGTCAGAACTTAAACTTCCCAGTCAGAGTTCCCCAACACACAGAAGACATTTCCTAGATGGTTTTGCAATGCTGCTATACAAGCCACACGCAGAAACACACCATGAGTGTTGCCAAAGGAGGAGTACGGCAAATGGGGCAGGGTGTTTTGCTTTGGATCAATGGCTGGGAGGTTGTGCACGGTGAGGGGCAAGGGTTGTGAGAAAAGAGGGAGGCTTGCTTGCCTGCAGCAGGGTTTCCTGGCCACTGCTGGTGGCCTAGAGACAGAGCCTGAAAGTGCCAGATGAGAACCGTGTAGCTTGGTTCCTTCACTGATGTTGGCAAACGTATGTTCCTCAAGTTGGCAAATGCATGTTCCTCAAGTGTTTATCACACACGAATGTCAAATTATTATCTTAGATGTTTATTCAGCTTGTGTAAAGCAGACCTTACCAAGGTATGTTAATTCCTTTAACTTACCAGCCCTGGCAGCAGACTGAGAAGAGGAACACTCTGAACTGACAAAATAATTTTCTTCTTTGTATTACATTTTGAAGACTTAAACCCCCCTTTTGAATACAGTAGAGCATTCAGAACGTACTAGGTTACATGTGTTTGTGTCTGCATATCTGGATTTGAACTTATATATTATTCAATATATCAATCAATACATCAAGTGTATAGGATGGGTGTGTACAGCCATACACAACCATATTGTAGCAATTTATAGAAATAATTTCCTGGAAACTGAGCACAGTCATTTGTTGACTTCCTTATATTTGCATGGAAATCTTCCAGTACACGGCAGAATATTTTTTAGAGACACAAAACAAGCACAGGTTAACAAAACCCACCAACATGGATATCCAAGTCAGTGTATGATGAACAGGTGTGAAGGCATTGCATTTCGTGTGTATTTCAAATGCAAGCAAAACCTCCGAACCTCATTCTTCCATATCCTTGGTTTTGTAAGTATAATGACCCAACACATACAAAGTTTGGATTTGTAGTTGTTATAGCCTGTCCTAGGCTCGTAACAGGCCTAGGAAGTCACCTACTCAAAATGTGAACTTCACAAATCTGACTTGTGCTTCACACCCTTGTGCTGTTAGATCTTCATCTTCCACGTTTGGAGAGCAGCGTCAAAGTCTCTCTTGCCCGGTGGCCCTGTGCACTGGGTGTGCAGCATCACAGCTGAGCTACTACTGGGGATGTGCATGAGCAAGAAGGCTCAAAGTTTCTCTTGAAGGAGATCACTTCTTGGCTTTAGTCTAATGCCCCAGTCCCTCCCATCACGGGCTAAGGTGGTTCCCTCCATCGTGCTTCAGAGATACTGTCCATCATATGATCCCAAGCAGAGCTGTCTTATGTTTTGGGAAGATAACCCAAAGCTGTGTGCTCTGATAGCTCTATGAAAGACCTTATCCCAAGTTATGGGCCTTATGCCAGTGAAGTTCAAGGGGAAGACAGCATACCCCAAGACACAAGTTGGATATTGTGGACTTCTGGAATCCCACAGAGCTTGTCAGACCCTTGAACTTCAACTCTTGCAGTTTGTGTGAAATGCTTGCCTATGAAAGGACAAATTTACAAAATGTTTAGAATCTCTTAAAGAACAGTCTAGTTCTTTTTCAGTGTTTGAAGTACACACACAGTAGTCAATGACCTCTGGCAGTGTGTGGAGGGTGAGATACACTAGATTTCTTTCCACATGTGAGATAATACATTTGTGACAGTATAAATGCTTATTGGCAGCCATTCCAAATATTCTTTATCGCCCTGTAAGAAATGGAATAATCTTAGTCAAACTTTATTCTCCATGTAGTGCTACTGTGGGTACATAAACTCCTCTCAGGGTGTTACCTTCTGCTGTACCTATTACAGACTTAAAGGGAATGTGCTGTTTTAAAAGGAGGGAGTCTACATAAGAGCTGGTCACCCTTGACTCCCTTTGTAGTCAGTGAGGGGAAATAGGTACTTGCAGGGAGGGACTCATCTGACTTACTTCATAAGTCCTTAAAATGAAATAAATCCCACCAGAAATACCTGTCTGGCACTGCAGAGAATCCCTAAATGCCTAACCCAGATGCAGGTGTCCACTGTGCTGTCTGTCTGTACTGCTCTGTCTCAGCTGTTGCCTTTTCTCATGGATGGAAGCTGCAACTCTTTGGAGCATGGACTCTCCAGAAGCCATGGGGTGGCACACTGTGGTAGCCAGGAGCAGGCTGTGAGGAGCCCCTCTACTCCATGGCTTCTCCCACTTTTGACTTCTAC